AGCTTCTCAGTTATTCCCAATTTGGATTTCGAAAATTTCACTCTACAGCTAGTGCACTACTAGACTGTACTAATGATTGGTATGTAAATCTACACAGAAAAATGTTTAACCCAGTAGTTTTAATTGATTTGAAGAAAGCCTTTGATACTGTTGATCATCAAATTCTGCTGAACAAATTAGAGCTCTATGGAATAAAAGGACAAGCTCTAACTTTGCTCAAATCCTATCTCACAAACAGAAACCAGAAGTGCCAAATAAAAAACTCATTTTCATCTGAGCGCTTGATTAAATGTGGTGTACCACAAGGCTCTATATTAGGGCCATTATTCTTTTTGTTGTACATCAATGATTTGCCACATTGTCTAAACAAAACCAAACCGCGGTTGTTTGCTGATGACACAAATTTGACTGCTTCAGCAAATTCTATGACTGACCTAGAGACTGCAGTAAATTCTGATTTAGAGAACCTTAGAAAATGGTTAATAGCTAATAAACTTAGCCTCAATGTAGCTAAGACAGAGTTTATGTTGATTGGCTCTAAACCTATGATCAAAAATATTTCTGATTCTTGCCCAAATGTTTACATTGAAAATATACAAATTAAACAAGTTCATGAATGCAAAACTCTAGGAGTAACAATTGACCAGCAAATATCTTGGAAAAGTAATACCGAAAATATTTGCAAAAAAGTTACAGCAGGAATCTCTGCTATTCGTCGGATCAAACCATTTGTTGATCAAGATACACTTATTTTGATATATAACACTATTGTTCGTCCGTACTTTGACTACTGCTGTGAAGTATGGGATGTATTTGGCGAAACTCAATCAAAACGACTGCAAAAACTGCAAAATAGAGCGGCAAGAATTATTCTGAATATAAGCAATGACGTAGATTATACGATTGCGTTACGTACTTTGGGCTGGGAGCCACTCCAAACTGAAAGGAAGAAAACTAAAGCAAGAATGATGTATAAGTTATTAAACAAAATGGGCCCAAAATCACTCACAACTCTATTTTCGTTTAAGAGTGAGAAAACTAATTACCACCTTCGGGATGTCTCAAGTGGTCTTTATTTACCAAAACCACGTACAAATAGCATGAAAAATAGTTTTATGTACGACGGAGCAAACATTTGGAATTCCATACCAAAAGAAATTAGGGAAAAGCAAGTCACTTTCTTCCTTTCGAAATAAAATCGCTGCTCACATTAGTGCTTGGTAACCTTTGTAAATATAACTTACCTGTAAATAGCTCAAAACATTTGTTATATCTTTTAAATTTATATATTACTGTAATAGCTTAGCTTATCCTTATCATATTCTGCATGTAAAATAATTTTCTGGCACACGCCCCCCGTGGAAATCAGCTACGGTTGACGGGGTCAGCGTGGATAAATAAAGTTCTACTACTACTACTACTACATTTCACCAAAATGCTCACCGCGCGCTCAATTTTCAAGTTTTCCCCATCAAATTTTGCATGCATAATGATAAATCGTTGCTGTAGCTAACGATTTGGCAACAATTCTACATCTTTAAAAACTGTACTTGGTACGGGTTGCTTTCGAAAATATGATGGCCTTTGCACCACGAGGTTAGAACGCTTCCGGTATAACTCCAAGGCTTCCGAAACATAATATTTCCCATCTCAAATGAACAAAGAACAAAACCGTGTTCGCGTTTTTTGATAGGCATTTTATTTGCTTTGATATAAAGCAGACAAGTTGACTCATCTAAATTTTGGGAGAACGGCAGAACAGATGCCTATAACTTGAAAAGTATGGCACTAAATAAAAGACGCGAACATGGTTTTGCTCCTGAACTATTGTTCAACATTGTGACCAAGTTTGGAGGGAATCGGATAAAACGTGCGCGTTTCTAAACTATTTTTGTGGGGACAATCTGAGAATATTTCAATCTCTGTAAAAGACGATATTAGATTTGGCGGGTTTTTTTCGCTCGCTGTTACACATCAAGATGTAATCGGATTAAAATTAGCAAAGTGTGTTTTGGCAAGGGTTTTAGGTGTCATTCACTCATTATTAGTTTATCACAAACCGTACATGGGAGAAACAACACGAAAAAACTTCCTAATATGCCGGCGAAACGCAAATGTAAAAAGGAGATAGCTACACAGACCGATCTGAATCGGCCAAACGAAAATGCAGTAGAAGATCTGTAGTGCACCACGAAGACACAAGCGAGGTTGAAGGTCACACAACCGGTATCGAGTATCACATCAAGCCACACATATTGTCAATTACAATTACAACTTTCGCGGCAAAAGAATAAGTAGTTATAACATTTTTTGTTATATTTCGGACGCATTGTAATATTTTGGAAAAAAAATATCAATCGAGAGATCTCCAGCCTCTGAATATAAATCAATAAAAATGTAAAAAATGATGAAATCAGTGTTTTCATCATATAATGTAACCTTAATGAAGTGAAATTCATCAACTTAAGTCCCAAAGGGGGTTCATTTTCAATGGTTTTAGACCCAACTCTCAAAGGTGAAAATATGCGATTCTGACTAAATTTTTTTATCAGATTCGTATTTGCTCATTTTTTATCCATTTGGCATGAAGAAGATATCATTCAACAGCTAAAAGCATGATCTTTCCCAATCTGAAAAATCTCGTTCATACGCAGAGTAATTCAGATACAATATAGCGCGCTGAAGTTCGATTACCTTTTTTTTATAGGCCTACACCCTGTATATACACGAACTTACGGTTACAGCTCAACAGCTGCTCTCTGTAGCTCAGTTGGTTAGAGCGCAGCACCGGAATTACAGGGCCGTAGGTTCAATTCCTACCAGAGGACCTTGTGTTGCATTTTTCGCAGTCGTTCCTGATTAGGTCTTAAAATGTATATATTCTCACTTGGATTACAAATCCTAACCTTCGAATATTAATTCCACCAAGTGAAGTGCAAGAATCCAAATTATTGAAGTCCACCTTAACGCAACCCGCACACCCGATTACCTATATATACATGAACTTTTCATATATTTATTTTATATATTCATATATTCATTTTATATATTCATTTTATATATACATGAACACCCGATTACCTATATATACATGAATATTTCAAAATTATTTCAAAAGAAATGTTTGGGAGGGGCAGACGGCAGACCTGTAGAGCATTTGTGGACGGATACATTGCCTATGCTGGCTATGTCCCTAGCTGGAATGCTCTAAAACCATCTAGAACAGAAGAAGACTTATAGCGAATGCGCTATTGTAGTGCCAGAGGATGATTGCGCTAATCGACTACAGAAATTTAGGTGTGTCAAGAAACTAGAAAAGTGTAGAAGGCTTATATAACTAACAAGGCGATCAACGTAGCCTGGGTAATGCGTAAATGAACCGTGAAATGAACGTGGTTATAATATATACTTATACATATGACAGCAAGTCAACAATAATAACTTATTAGTTAATGCCTTAATCCTTTTGTTGTCACAAAAAGGGGCAACCAGTTGCCCCCGCACTGCCCCCGTACTGTTAGGGCAACCCGGGCCACTGCCCCCGCTGCCCCCGTGGCTCCGGCGCCCCTGCAGCCTGTTGAATTTCCATAGCGTTTTTTTACACACCCTGTACGTCTTCTAAAAAGCATTGCTAAATATATTTTATTGTTACATAGTTAGTTGGTGATAATGAAATTATTTTGGAAACAACCGTTGATTTCTTAGCCTACTTTTTTCACCGGAATAATTATAGTCATGTTGCATGCATTCATTATTAAATTTGTGCAGATGGTCATAAGTTTTGAAAACAGTAACGGTACAAAAAGGTAAAGAAGTATGCACTTACTGTAAACACAAAGGAATGGCACAGAAATTGAATCTTTTGTTAAGCACGTAGCGTATATTTCGCACGGATCAGGGACACAGGGAACCTTTAGAAACAAAATAATATAAGGTTTATTGTCACAAGTCCTTCTTGGGACTGCAAAATTAATTTATAAAACTTTTCTTCTTTTCGATTGAGGAAAGAGCATTAAAGGGCATTGAGTTGAACGAGTTAGTAAGAGAGAATTGACAGATAGTTTGGTGGGCCGGCATTAATACTGTATATATACGGCTAATTCAATTAAGGTTGCCATTTTCAAGTCAAAACCATTGGCCTCTAAGGTCTGTATACGTCGAATTTTGGTCGCGCCGAATGCAATTGAAACAATAGATGATGAAGCTTAATGAGGTTTACCATCTCATTATTTATTGTCATTATTATATACATGGCAAAATTAGTGCAATCTGATTGGTTAAGAGGAGCGCAATTATTTCATTAATTATTTATCTTTTGTAAACAGTGGCAAATACTGCAATTTCATTGGTTTTGCAGGAGTGCGATTTGAGCATTATGTAAAGAACGGAAACCGAAACGACCGAATCCGGAAACGACCGAAACCAGAAACGAACGAAATCGGAAATTGCCGCCTAATTTCCCGCATATAACGAATAATTATATTGTTGATGCTCGATCGCTGGCGATCGATATTATCAATATTAGATAAATATCGTCCAAATGTCGTAAGTCGTAAGGTTGTATACTATTTAACTGCTGACAATTTTGTAAATTATTTTAACTGCATATAATTAACTTCCTGAACAATGCTGGGTTTTTTTAATTTAATAAAAACGATCATTGCATTCATGTTCTCATTTGACATACGATACGGCTCCACTAAAATGGCACGCTCGTGATTTCGAAAAAGTTAAATACATGCTCATTTAGACATATTCCAAATCCCAATTTATCTGACCGCCTTTTAGTAGCTTCAAATTTTCAGAACTGTGTTCCTTCAATCACAAGTAGTACAAGTATTATTAGTCTATGCTTACATATTGCATATGTAAGCATAGACTGTGCAAGGGAGCAGAGGTATATTTGGGAGCTCTTCGATTTGAAAATTTTAACAAATTATACGACGTTTATAACATACATTACTTATATGAATCTTGAAATACGTGTTCACGGTTAAGAAATGGAGAATTTAGGCATTGGTTGGTCTGGAGATTTTAATTCACTGAAGCAATTTGTAAATGATGCTTTGAAACTTGTTGGAGAGTGGTCACAACCGGGTGGAGACAGAAAAGTATTTACGTTTGGTAATTCAAGTATCTCATGGCGAAAATCCAAGAGTTTTTTACAACTTGAAGGGGAAGAATCAATCACAATTAAGAAGAAAATTTGTGAACTAATGCTGAACGGGGAGATTACTTCGCAACGACAGACGCATTCAAGCTCATCGCCAGAAATGTCTACAGAGGAAATGGAGAGTCTTCGAACAGGTCAGTTTATAAACAGTGAAGCCATTCAATCTTTGGCCGAGTCTGTCGCTCAGGTTTTATCTATAGTAAACGAACTTAAAACGAATTCAGAATACAGGGCTAATAGCGACAGCCAAACAAACATGAAAGTAATGGCATCGCATGAAACGAGGAATGAATTTGAATATGCAAATCTGAATGAGGATAATCCTATTGTTTCAAAAGAATTAGCGGATGTGAATAACAACAAAAATGATCAAAGCCCTCTTTTATGTAATCAAAGTGCGGAAATAAGTGCCCATTTGCATTCAATAATTGATCTAACCACTGATAATACGCAATCCTCCTATGCAAATGCAGTAAAGACTCATTTAGATTCCTCAGATATGTCGGAAAAGCCGATCAGGAAGACTGATGAAATAAATGTTCAACCAAAATCTAATGAATTGCCACACTCTAATAAAATTGAAAATGATGGGTTCATTGGAGTCCAACGTAGGCGCAAAAGATATAAGAAATTTTTCTTATCTGGAATAGCGGATAATGTAAAAGAAAGTAAAATTCACTCATATCTCATCAAAAGAAACATAACTCCTACTTATGTATCCATATTCCGAAGTAGACGTAAAGGAACACTATCGGCAAAAATTCATATTCCTGCAACCGCATGCACATCCATACTTGAAGAAAACTTTTGGCCTGAGTTTGTCATATGCAAACCGTGGCAAAAGAAAGAAACACAACCCATGTGGTCAAAGAAATTTTCAACATATGTATAATGATGGCTCAAATCCCTGTTAGAATTACCCCACGAAACTATTGTAGAGAGCGCTCTTCGGTAAACAGGAACTGCAGTAATCTGATTCGAATTCCTAGACTTAAATCAGTTAAGACTAAACAAGTGTTACCTAATATCTTGTCTCTTAATGCGAGATCTATTTTAACAAAAACTGACGAACTGGCTCTTGTTATTCACAATCAAAAATCAGACATAGTAATGGTGTCCGAAACTTGGCTTTCCGATGTTATCCCAGACGAAGCACTACTTTTTCCGGGCAGTATGCTTCAGTGTAATAAGGAATGACAGGGTTAATATGAGAGGTGGTGGTGTGGCTGTCTTCGTTAAGGATACGATCCCGTTTAAAATCCGCCATGATTTTACTTGTCCGGACTATGAATGTTTATGGATCATACTACGTCCAAAATGGCTCCCCAGATCAATCTCAAAAATTGCCTTGGCATGCGTTTATTTACCCCCCTCGCTAAATTCTGGAGCTATTGAGGAATTTTACGACTATTTCTGCAGCTGCTACGATGCGCTTACAAGTGAAAGTCCGAATCTATCAATTGTTGTTGCTGGGGATTTCAATTCTGTGAGCAACGGTTTTCAGGAGAAGATAATTACGAACAACTGCCGATTAAAGCAGGTGGTGAAGAAACCAACAAGGGGAACAGCAAT